ACACAATCAAAGCACCCCTGACATATGGCCATCCAGACTCTGCTCAAAAACCAACAAAGAAGGAGACTCCAACACTCTTCTAGGCAGTGTCTTCCAAAGTTGAGCAGCTCTTAGTCTCAGTAAGTTCTTCCTAATGTTGAGGTGGAATCTCTTTTGCTGTAGTTTGCATCCATTGTGTCCTAATCTCTGGAGCAGCAGAAAACAAGCTTGCTCCATCTGCAATAGGGCATCCCTTCAAATATTTAAACCCAGCTATCATGCCCCCCTTAACCTTCTCCTCTCCAGGCTAAACCTACCCAGCACACTTTAAAAGGCCTGCTTACCTTTTCCAGCTTCAGTCTTCATCCGGGATACACCTGGCTGTTATTACATGGGCCAGCTCCTTAAATCGCTGCCGAAGCCGCCGCTTGAATCCAGACCAGGTAAACCGCAGCACTCAGCCGACCAATTTTCAAAGTCGGGAGCTTCCAACTTCAAAAATCTGCCAGCTGAACATTGCTTCGACCCACGGTTTACCGGGTCTGGATTTGGGCGATGGCTTCGGCAGCAATTTAAGGCGCCGGCCTATGTGATAATGTGCAGGTGTATCCCGGATGAAGACTGAAGCCGGAAAAGGTAAGCCGGCTTTTTAAAGCGTACGATCAGCTCCTAAGTCTCTCCTCATAGGGCTTCATGGTTTCCAAACCCTTCACCATTTTGTTCACCATAATCTGGACATGTTCCAGCTTGTCCACATCCTTTTTGAATTGTGGGGCTCAGAACTGGATATAGTTGTTTTGGGGAGGCTGGGATGTGGTCAGTGCAATGGGGGGGAAGCTAGATTATCAACAGCACAACTTCTATGTATTCTGCAGAAGGATGGTGCAGCAGAACCACAGTGCAAGTGGAGCAGATTTCCACGATGCAAGCATGCTGTAGAACAGGGGTAGGCAACCTAAGGCCCAGGGGCCGGATGCGGCCCCCCGGGCCCTTGGACCGGCCCCAGGCCGGTCCTGCTGCTGCCTACACCCCCCACCACCGCCGCCGCCCGCCATGATAATATTGATTATTGTTGTTATTACTTGTTCTTGGGGTTTTCTTGGCAAAATCTCCACAGGAGTTTTGCCATGGCTTTTCTGGGGCTGAGAGAGTGTGCATGTGTGTGTGTGTGTGTGTGTGTGTGTGTGTGTGTGTGTGTGTGTATATATATATATATATATTATTTTTAGTGTTTTTTAAATTATTTTTATTTATATTTATTTATTTATTTATTTATTTTTGGTGCTTCGGCCCCCCCAATTGTCTGAGGGACAGCAACCCGGCCCCGGCTCAAAAAGGTTGCCTACCCCTGCTGTAGAAGCACAGCATTTGTTGGCCAGCTTGTATGGACATCACAGAGATTCCAGACACACACACGTGTCTCCGCTCTCTCTTTCTCACCTAGCACCAGTGTGGGGCTGACGAAACCAAGGCACACGAAGGAGCCTTGTAAAAGACCGTCCGTGCTCTCGGCTTGCAAGGAATCACTTGGTGCCCTGCCAGGTTCGGCTCCAGCACAGATGCTTTCCAGACTCCTTTCCTCCCCGAGGTCAAAGCCCAAGCTTTGTTCTGGGGGATGAAGAGGTTTCTACAAAGAAAGGGAAGCGCTTGTTCAGGCTCACACCTGGACGGCGGAGTTGGTGCAGGGAGCAACGAGGTAAAACCTTGCCCAACGTCTGCTGGGGCCATTCTTTCAAGCTTTAGAAGCTGCAGCACAAAGCAAACAACTACATTTCAACGGGGAGAAATGTACGGTACTACACTTAAGCAGAAGAAAAGAACAACTCAGGTATAGGATGAGGGACACCCGGCTTGATAACAGTACATGTGAAAGGGATCTAGGAGTCCTAGTAGACCACAAGTTGAACATGAGTCAACAGTGTGATGCGGCAGCTAAAAAGGCCAATGTGATTCTAGGCTGCAATAATAGAAGTATAGTGTCTAGACTGAGGAAAGTAACAGTGCTATCTACTCTGCTTTAGTCAGACCTCACCTGGAATCGTGTGTCCAGTTCTGGGCACCACGATTCAAAAAAGATATTGACAAGTTGGAGCATATCCAGAGGAGGGGTGACCAAAATGGTGAATGTTCTGGAAACCCCCAAGCCTTCTGAGGAATGGATTAAGGAACTGGGTATGTTTAGCCTGAAGAAGAGAAGGTTAAGAGGTGATATG